TTGTCGCGCTTCAAAAGTGTTTGAAGTGCGGACATGAAGTTGCTCGGCAAAGTCCGTACTAATATAAGCGCCGCTGATAGACATATGGAGGGAAATGATGTAATATTACTAAATATAGTTCACCTTGGCATTCTAGGCGTACATGTCCATTAACCGTTGCCAGAAGTTTTTATGTAAAAAGCCACTGGCTTCTTGCTACCAGCACCCACGCTCGCCATCGTTACCCTCGACCACCACTATCATCCCGTCTAACTCAGTCACTCTCGCTTGCAACTTCATACGCGTCATGTTATATTTCTACGAAGCATTTGATTGGATCAAAAATAAGATCGGCCGGATCTTTGATCGGCAGAGGACGCCGGGTTGGGTTGATATCATCGGCCGTGACAGTTTTGCCGCCATGAGCGGGTGGATGGGTGATGAGCCCCCTACTGCCGCCTGTGTCTACGTGACAGTCGAAACGTTCTGGCACAATCCCCGCTACCCCACCCTCACTCTTCGTCCTCCGACCTCTGCTGCTCTATCCCACGTCCCCGACGATCGCGAACTCAGCTTCTCCAAATTCAGCGACATCGTCCTTGCTCAGCATACCCCCTCCTTCGCCTATCACGTCTTATCCCGCGCCCGAAACCCTGACACAATGCTGCAGCCCGCTGTGCGACGGGAGTGGGATTGCTGGGTGGTGCGCCGCAGTGACGGGGATCTCTGCGTCGGCCTCGCCAATCGCCTGTACTGGGATTTCAACTACACCGTCTACTCTGTCTTCCAGTACGAATCGCCGCAGCACCGCCAGCGTGTAGTGCGAACCGGAATGCTGATCGTTCCTACCCATAACGTATGGATCGAGACGACGGATGAGGAGGAGGATCCGGTGGAGGGGTTCAAGATACACCCAGAGTTTGAGAAGTATAGGAAGGCGGTGCCGTTGGAGGCGCACGAAGGGGTGCAACTCACTTTCGAGTATGGAAGGGTTCCCTCGAACGTAGTTGCCGAGGCAGTTAGCGGTTCAGCACTCTTCGACAAGGAGCTGAAGGCGATAAGGGAGAACGGGCGGTTCTGAAGGGATGGTAGTAGAAGCGAGCGTGGATGGAACACTGGTGAAAACCCATTTGTTATGTCTCTATGTCTGGACCCTCGATTCTGGTTCGTATATGTTTTCCTGTTGCTATTATGAGTTTGAGTCTGGTTTGTGACAGATATCTGCCCCGGTTAGTTACTAATCTTGCGACGGCATGATAGTATAGGCTATTTGTGCTGGGCACCTTCCCGACTTCCGCCTCTCACTCCTTACATTACGGTTACGATTATCGCTGTCTTGCTATCTTGGTTGTCGTACTGTGTTTTCGATTGGGATTGAAATAGTTGCTAGTTGTGTATGCAAATCGCGGACAATTTGATCGTGGCGTATCACTTAGTGTAGTGCCACAGTGGCGCACGTTAGTTCCGGCCTCCGGACCAAGATGCTCCACGCGTAAATTAGAAAAGAACGGCCCGGACGCGCCTTCAGACGGCCTCATTGAATTCTCACGCTCTAATGACTCAGAAGTTATTTATACCAGGCCTCGAGAACTGACACTGTGAGTCAGTCTCGCTCCGGAGGCATTCACAGCGACTCAGACTGACATCGCTACAGTCATGATGACTCTGAACGATGTGGACAAGAATGGTTCACACAGATACTGACTTTGTCTGACTCGGAATGAGTAAGTCTGACTAACGCCGGGATTTTTATTACCATGTAGGAGTAAGTACGCGTACGAGTTAAGTTAGAATGACTCAGAATGTCTCATATTGCGTCTGACCGAGTCACTATGAGTCCCGATGAGCGTTACTTAGTCGCAGTGACTCAATCGTAGTTAGAATGAGTCAGAATGTAGTCCTAGTCATGTATTTAGCCAAACTGCCGGCTCCCTCGAGGGGGGTATAAATACAGCGGATCGAGCGACGAACGAAAAAAAGACAGGTTAACTCCTGACCACCACGTTCTCCTCATCCAGTTTGCCCCAGTTTATTGCTACAGAGGCTGCTACCTCTGCGTCTGCATCAAAGCTAACAAGAGAGACCCTGCTCTCTACTCTAAGTGAATAGTTTAAGTCAATCGTCGACTTCCGATAAGTCGAATCACTGTCCGAAGCCTCAAGAGAAAGACGTCTCGTTGAGCTCGCCCCGTCTGCAAGTCTAAGCCGAGTCATTCAAGAGAAAACGTCTCGTTGAATACTCTCCCATCGTTATTGATCACCGGAAGATCAATCTGAGTCATTTCTAAGTTTCAACGTTACGCCGCCAGTCCACGCCACCAGCCTTTCGCCACTTGAGATCCAGCAGAGTATCGCTCGTGATCGTAGTGAGAATTTATTCCCCACGAACAACTAGTCGAAATCGGGAAAGAAGAAAACCTATTTACGCCTAGGCAAGACCTTTGAATTTTACTTCAAAACCACAACTTGCACGACAAA